CTCACCCGTACCCTCTCCCGTACCCTCATCCGTACCCTCTCCCGTACCCTCACCCGTACCCTCTCCCGTACCTTCACCCGTACCCTCTCCCGTACCCTCTCCCGTACCCTCTCCCGTACCCTCACCCGTACCCTCTCCCGTACCCTCTCCCGTACCCTCACCCGTACCCTTTCCCGTACCCTCTCCCGTACCCTCTCCCGTACCCTCACCCGTACCCTCTCCCGTTACCCTCACCCGTACCCTCACCCGTACCCTCACCCGTACCCTCACCCGTACCTCACCCGTACCTTCTCCCGTACCCTCACCCGACCCTCACCGACCTTCACCCCTCACCCGTACCCTCTCCCGTTACCCTCTCCCGACCACTCTCCCCTCCCTCCCGTACCCTCCCCCGTACCCTCACCGTACCTCTCCCGTTACCCCAACCGTACCCCCCGTACCTCTCCGTACCCTCCCGTACCTCACCCGTCCCTACCTTACCTCCCGTACCCTCACCCGACCTCACCCGTTACCTTCTCCCGTACCCTCTCCCGTACCCCTCCCGTACCCTCCCGACCCTCCCTACCCCACCGAACCCTCACCCTACCCTCACCCGTACCTTCTCCCGTACCCTCACCCGCTCCCTCACCCGTACCCTCTCCCGTACCCTCACCCGTACCCTCTCCCGTCCCTCCCCGTTCCCTCACCGTACCTCACCCGTTACCTTCTCCGTAACCCTCACCGCACCTCACCGTACCTTCACCCCTTCACATACACCCTCACCCTCCTCAACATACCCTCGCCCCTCCCGGGACACACTCCTGACACCATCCCTCCAGCACCCTCCCCCCCGGCAACCACCTCCCCGACACACCCTCCCTCCAGCACCCTCCCCCCCGGCAAACCAACCCTCCCGACACACCCTCCTGCACCCACCTCCCAAACACGCCCCCCTCCTCCAACAACACAGATCAGCCTTGACAACACTGCTGCTATATTTACACCCCACATGAATAACCAGGGACTTAAGAGAGTTGCAACATGTTTATATCCTCTTGCCTTACACCTCTCCCAACCCCTCCCCTCAACCCCTCACTCAAACACCATCCCCTCCCCACCCAACTCTACCTCCCTCTCCCAACTCTCCCCTCCCCACCGCTCCCTCCCAACCCAACTCTCCCCTCCCACCCCTCCCCTTCCCCATCCTCCTCTCCCCACACCCTCCCTAACACCAGTGTCAGGACACATATAACACCAGTGTCAGGACACATATAACACCAGTGTCAGGACATATATAACACCAGTGTCAGGACATATATAACACCAGTGTCAGGACACATAACACCAGTGTCAGGACATATTCAACACCAGTGTCAGGACACATATAACAGCAGTGTCAGGACACATAACAGCAGTGTCAGGACACATATAACACCAGTGTCAGGACATATATAACACCAGTGTCAGGACACATATAACACCAATGTCAGGACATATATAACACCAGTGTCAGGACACAATCAACACCAGTGTCAGGACACATATAACACCAATGTCAGGACACATATAACACCAATGTCAGTATACAATCAACACTAGTGTCAGGACACATATAACACCAGTGTCAGGACACATATAACAGTGTCAGGACACATATAACACCAGTGTCAGGACACAACACCAGTGTCAGGACACATATAACACCAGTATCAGGACACAACACCAGTGTCAGGACACACATAACACCAGTGTCAGGACATATATAACACCAGTGTCAGGACACATATAACAGTGTCAGGACATATAACACCAGTGTCAGGACACATAACACCAGTGTCAGGACACATATAACACCAGTGTCAGGACACATAACACCAGTGTCAGGACACAATCAACACCAGTGTCAGGACACATATAACACCAATGTCAGGATACAATCAACACTAGTGTCAGGACACATATAACACCAGTGTCAGGACACATATAACACCAGTGTCAGGACACAATCAACACCAGTGTCAGGACAATATAACACCAATGTCAGGATAAACAATCGTCACTATGTCAGGACACATATGACACCAGTGTCAGGACACATATAACACCAGTGTCAGGACACATATAACACCAGTGTCAGGACACACATAACACCAGTGTCAAGACATATATAACACACGTGTCTGGGACACATATAAACACCCCCAGTGTCAGGAACATTTACCCAGTGTCAGGACACATTATAACAAAAGTGTCAGGAACATTTAACACCAGTGTCAGGCCAATCAACACCAGTGTAGGACACTTATAACACCAGTGTCAGGACCCCCCATTTTACACCAGTGTCAGGAACAATCAACACCAGTGTCAGGAAAACATATAACACCAATGTCAGGACAAACACATCTGTCAGTGACACATATAACAGCGTGTCAGGACCATCACACCAGTGTCAGACACAAAATAACAGCGTGTCAGGACACAATCAACACCAGTGTCAGGACACATATAACAGCAGTGTCAGGACACAATCAACACCAGTGTCAGGACACATGTAACACCAGTGTCAGTACACAATCAACACCAGTGTCAGGACACATATAACACCAGTGTCAGGACACATACAACACCAATGTCAGGACACATATAACACCAGTGTCAGGACACATATAACACCAATGTCAGGACACAATCAACACCAGTGTCAGGACACATATAACACCAATGTCAGGACACAATCAACACCAGTGTCAGGACACATATAACACCAGTGTCAGGACACATATAACACCAATGTCAGGACACAATAACACCAGTGTCAGGACACATATAACACCAGTGTCAGGACACATATAACACCAATGTCAGGACACATATAACACCAGTGTCAGGACACAATCAACACCAGTGTCAGGACACATATAACACCAGTGTCAGGACACAATCAACACCAGTGTCAGGACACATATAACACCAATGTCAGGACACAATCAACACCAGTGTCAGGACACATATAACACCAGTGTCAGGACACAATCAACACCAGTGTCAGGACACATAACACCAATGTCAGGACACATATAACACCAGTGTCAGGACACAATCAACACCAGTGTCAGGACACATATAACACCAATGTCAGAACACATATAACACCAATGTCAGGACACATATAACACCAGTGTCAGGACAATCAACACCAGTGTCAGGACACATATAACAGCAGTGTCAGGACACAATCAACACCAGTGTCAGGACACATATAACAGCAGTGTCAGGACACATATAACAGCAGTGTCAGGACACATATAACAGCAGTGTCAGGACACATTATAAACAGCAGTGTCAGGACACATATAACAGCAGTGTCAGGACACATATAACAGCAGTGTCAGGACACATATAACACCAGTGTCAGGACACATATAACACCAGTGTCAGGACACATATAACAGCAGTGTCAGGACACATAACACCAGTGTCAGGACACATGTAACAGCAGTGTCAGGACACATAACAGCAGTGTCAGGACACATATAACAGCAGTGTCAGGACACATAACACCAGTGTCAGGACACATATAACACCAGTGTCAGGACACATATAACAGCAGTGTCAGGACACATATAACAGCAGTGTCAGGACACATATAACACCAGTGTCAGGACACATATAACACCAGTGTCAGGACACATATAACAGCAGTGTCAGGACACATAACACCAGTGTCAGGACACATATAACAGCAGTGTCAGGACACAATCAACACCAGTGTCAGGACACATATAACAGCAGTGTCAGGACACATAAACGCAGTGTCAGGACACATATAACAGCAGTGTCAGGACACATATAACACCAGTGTCCGGGTAGAACTTGCGGCTGTGTGTAAGGCCGCACACGTGTGCACAACTGAGACCATGTGCGTAGAAGTGAAACCATGTGCATATAATTCCTATGGGTTTAGCACTGATCATAATAGCAATACTAAGGTATTAATTATGTATGTTGAGGCGCTAAATCCGTAGGGGTCATGCATTTGATGAATAGGAAGCAGTCGACTTTGATCCTAGAGAGCATATGTCCTTGGATCAAGAGCTAGATTGTATTGGTGTTATAACTTGACACAGGAGTAAGACAATATTTTCGTTTTGGACCTGTCAATTTTTTTGACCTGTCAGTGTTTTTAGACCTGTCAATTTTTTTGACCTGTCAGTGTTTTTAGACCTGTCAATTTTTTTGACCTGTCAGTGTTTTTAGACCTGTCAATTTTTTTGACCTGTCAATGTTCTTGGACCTGTCAATTTGTTTTGGACCTGTCAGTTATTTGGACCTGTCATTTTTTTGGACCTGTCATTTTTTTTGGACCTGTCGATTTTTTGGGACCTGTCATTTTTTTAGACCTGTCAATTTTTTTGACCTGTCAGTGTTCTTGGACCTGTCGATTTTTTGGGACCTGTCATTTTTTTAGACCTGTCAATTTTTTTGACCTGTCAGTGTTCTTGGACTGTCGATTTTTTTGGGACCTGTCATTTTTTTTAGACCTGTCATTTTTTTGGACTGTCAATTTTTTTTGGACTGTCGATTTTTTGGGACCTGTCATTTTTTTCGACATGTCATTTTTTTGGACCTGTCAATTTGTTTTGGACCTGTCAATTTTTTTGGACTTGTCATTTTTTTGGACCTGTCAATTTGTTTTGGACCTGTCATTTTTTTTGGACCTGTCATTTTTTTGTACCTGTCAATTTTTTGGACCTGTCAATTTTTTTGGACCTGTCAATTTTTTAGACCTGTCAATTTTTTGGACCTGTCAATTTTTTTGGACCTGTGAATTTTTTTGGATGTCAAATTTTTTTTTGGGGGGGGCTGTCAAATTTTTTTTTACCTGTCATTTTTTTTACCTGTGATTTTTTTGGGGTATGTCAATTTCTTTTTGAGTCTGTCAATTTTTAGAGGGTTTTGTTCATTGTTATTACTATTGTTATTGAGTTATGTTATTGTTATTATAATTATTGTTATTGCAGGGAAGAGTGTTGTGTACGGCGGTGTGGAGGTTGTACGTGAGGTAGCAGTGAGTGGTCCACAGTGTCTGCACAACCCCACCACCACCACCCCTACCACTTCATCCAACCCCATTCCCGCCAGCGGTGCCATCACTGCCGGCGGCACTGCAGTGGGCGGCGGCGGCAGTGGCAGAACGTGGGTGGTGGGCAGCAGTGGCAGCAGCAGCAGTAGCAGCAGTAGTGGAGGTGGGAGTGGAGCTAAGAACTCCCCCCTCTCCCTCACCTCCCTCAAGGCCGCCTGGAGGAGTTTCACCAATTTAGGTGTGGGATCATCCCGCCTACCCCACCTGGAGAGGGTGGATGTGGGCGTGAGTGACGCCCACGACTACCGCTACACCCACTTCCCCAATAAACGCCACCATAAGGATACCTCCTTTGACGATACCCACATCCACCTAACTCCCGCCTCCCGCACCTACACCCACCCACACCGTAGCCCCGTCCCACCCCCGCCCCACGCCCACACCCCGCCCCCACGCCCACAGGTACCCGAGGCTACCCTCACACTAGCCAGATGTCTTAGGAAACACAGGGAGAAGCAGCAAGCTAGGGCGCTTACTAGGAAGTCTAAATCAGACAATGCACTTCAGAAGATCGGAGTGCACTTGAAGTCACACTCTGACCAGAACCTTCACAAAGTGTGGCTTGCAAGTGTAAATAGTTGTAGTGTAAGTTGCAGCAGCAACAACAGCAACTCTGTGTTTAGTACTGTACAACTCTCTGGAGGGAGCGGTGACAGCTGTAGTAGTGGCAGCAGCTGCACCACCAGGGCCGCCCACCACCGCTCCAAGTCCTTGGAACGTCACCAGGGTGCCCGGATATACCCAGCCCCGCCCTTAACTCATACACGCTCCCTTGAGAGAAATCACAAGTTCCGGGTGGACCTGAGGTCGCTGTGCCTTCCTAAGGACGAGCCGCCACAGCATTTGGCGCCCCCGCCGCCCACCCTCACGCCCACGCACGTGCCGTGGGCGCCGGATGCCGTGGAGGGCGTGAGTGTGCAGCAGCAGCAGGTGTGGCTGGGCGGCATGGAGGGTGGACACGCGGGCGGTGGGGGCGGGTCATTTATCAACAAACCCGCCCGTGGATGGCTACACCCCGACCACCAGCTAGCTGACGAGGGGATATGTTATGGTGTCAGGGTAAGTACTTACTCTCAATTCCTAACCATAATTTTTAAAGGGTTGGAGGGGTAAGCCAGTGGAAGGCCTCGGTCAGATGACCTAAAGCTTCAGCGTCAGTGACCAGTGTAAAAATGATAGTGCCTAGGTAGAAACACTAGTGTAACACTGTTTTGTTTCCTGACGAATCTTACTTAACCTAAGCTGTGTCAGGGTACCACACTGTGTCATTGCTAGTGTCAAGGTAAGTACCATACTGTGTAACTACTACAGTGTCATGGTAAGTACCATACTGTGTAACTACTACAGTGTCATGGTAAGTACTAAATTATGTCACTACCACAGTGTCAAGGTAATTATCAAACTGTCTCACTGCTGCAGCAGTATATAGGTTTTTTACTCATAAAACGTGAACCATAGAACTGATAAAGAAGGTAGATGGTCCACTGAGCCATCTGTGGAGACAAAGAAGGTAGATGGTCCACTGAACCATCTGTGGAGACAAGAACTTTATTTTTGGAAGCATAAAGAGGAGTGTACCAGAATGTAGTGATACCAACACTATTGTTTGGGTGTGAAGCCTGGGTTTTCAATGTTGCAGCGAGGAGGAGGCTGGAGGCAGTTTGAGATATCGTGTCTGAATGCAGTATGTGGTGCGAATATTATGCAGAGAATTCTGAGTTTGGAGATTAGAAGGAGGTGTTAGGTTTCTGGAGGTATTATCCAGAGGGTTGAGGAAGGGTTGTTAAGGTGGTTTGGTCATTTAGAGCTGATGGGACAAAATAGGATGACTTGGGGGACGTGTAAATCTGGGGTGGACGGAATGGGGTTGGGGTCATTCTAAAGTTGGAAGTAGGGAGTAAAAGAGGTTTTGAGTCCTATGGGCTTGGACATCCAACAGGCTTGTGTGAGCGTGTTAGAGGTGAATGGAGGCAAGTGGTTTTCATGCCTCGATGTGCTGTTGGAGTGTAAGCACGGTAACATTTATGAAGAGACTCAGGGAAATCAGCTGGATTGAGTTCTGGAGGTGGGAAGTATAATGCCGGCACTCAAAGGTGTGGGAGGGATGTTGAGGTTTAGTTATCTAAACTGTGATGTTAGCTCACTTGTGGCAAGACAGTGATTGTATGAGTGACAGTGAAAGTTTTCTTATTCTCATAGCAGACATAAATACAAATAACCTACATCAGTAACATCAGCAGCAACAACAACACCAACATCAACAGTAGCAGCAGCAACAACAACAACAGTAGCAGCAACACCCATCACAGTTTAGTATCATCATTTGCAGACGACACTAAAATAAGCATAAAAGTCACTACGGTAGAAGATACTGAAAAATTACAGGAAGATATAAACAGTGCTTTCCAGTGGGCACTGGAAACCAACATGATCTTCAGTGGTGATAAGTTCCAGCTGCTTAAGTATGGAAAGAATGTCTCAATCTTCAACTTGTCGGTTTTTCAAACCATTCATCACAACTGTCAGACACGGCAGCATCATGGGATCTTGTTACAAAGAATTCTTCAACACTTGTCCAACCTTTGGACGAAGACCTACTTCGACTAGTGGATGGTACCACTATGACCCCGCCTCCGCCTGCTTCACCTCACCTCACTACAGTATATAAGCCACGTCTACGGCCCTATGCTGTACATTCTACAAGATTGATGGACTGAACACATCGACTCCAGGCTGAGGGATTGATTACCTCAAACTCCTCCTCTCCTTACGCCTTTCTACTTTGTATTGGACTGATGAAGCCACTGTGTGGCGAAACGTTTCCTGAATAAAGATTCCCATATGTTGCATAAGTGTCTCAATCTTCAACTTCTCGGTTTTTCAAACCATTCATCACAAAGAATGAAGAACTCAAAAGGAACACTTTATATAAAACTCAAGAGGGTCACCAAATAGAAGGAGAGGAACACTGGGCGAAATGTGGTGACCTGTACTTTGCTCTTTCAAGACTTGTCTAGTGTGCTCTCTGTGTGAATCTGAACTAAGATGAAGATTGAGACACTTATGCAACATATGGAAATCTTTATTAAGGAAACGTTTCGCCACACAGTGGCTTCATCAGTCCAGTGCAAAGCAGAAACGGGTAAGGAGAGGATGAGTTTGAGGTAATCAGTTTCTGAGCCTGGAATCGATGTGTTCAGTCCATCAGTCTTGTAGAAGGTACAGCATATGGCCGGAGAAGTGACTTGTATACTGTAGTCAGGTGAGTGGAAGCAGGAGGAGGCGGGATCACAGTGGGACCATCCACTAGTGTAAGTAGGTCTTCGTCCAAAGGTTTGTCAAGTATTGAAGAGTTCCTTATATCAAGATTCCATGATGTTGCAGTGTCTGACAAGTTGTACATGAATGGTATTCAATACCGACAAGATGAAAAATTAGACACATGTGCAACATCTCGGTATCTTGACTGTAGAGGTTTCGCCATCCAGTGGTTTTATCAATACAAATTCAAGAACATAATGGAAGACAGAAGAACTATAAACAAAAGATGTGGTAATCAGTCCCTCAGCCTTGGAGCTGTTGTGAAGAGCACCGTAACATCATGGAATCTTGGTACAGAGGACATCTACATAACTTTCTTCACGGCTGCTACTACTACTATAACCACCACTACTAACCCGTGCCTCGGGTATGACCTACTTCTCTACGACTCACGAAATCGTAATGACACGATTGCAAACAAGCCATACCCCGGCCGGGATTGAACCCGCGGTCATAGAGTCTCAAAACTCCAGCCCGTCGCGTTAGCCACTAGACCAGCTAGCCACAATAAGATTCGTCCAACTAGGTATATTTCTACACCATAGGAAGGTTAGCACAGGCACCACTGTGACCACAAATGCAAGTTTTTGTGGTCACAGTGGCTAGCTGGTCTAGTGGCTAACGCGACGGGCTGGAATTTTGAGACTCTATGACCACGGGTTCAATCCCGGCCGGGGGTATGGTTTGTTTGCAATCGTGTCATTACGATTTCGTGAGTCATGTTGATGGCAGTGAAGGGACTTGAGCTAGAGTTCGTCACGGCCACGCTAGCTGGAGATTCGTCTGTAAAAACCTGCATTTGTGGTCACAGTGGTGCCTGTGCTAACCTTCCTATGGTGTAGTAGTGTAGTTGAACGAATCTTATTGTGGCTAGCTGGTCTAGTGGCTAACGCGACGGGCTGGAGTTTTGAGACTATGACCGCGGGTTCAATCCCGGCCGGGGTATGGTTTATGACCTACTTCCACTGGGAAATCCCGCCTACCAGTGACTATGCCCTCGTCTGCTACTCGTCCCCTTTCCATCTGTCGCCAATATGTAAGCGCCAGCCTTCTTCTTGTGCTCACCTGGGCCTCGGTAGATAGCATCCCCAAGATACCTAACGCCTCATCTATGCTAAAGATTACATTCTCAGACATCTCCATGGCTGCCCAAGCTCTCTCTGACGGTCTGGCTATCTCATATTACCACATTCACACAAGTCATAGAACCAGAACGTTTCATACACGTCTCCCACTGCTGGACCTGCTACTGCTGGACCTGCTACTGCTATAATCATACCACCAAGGACTGCCCCATCAAGAATAAGTTTTGTTCACATGTGCAACATCTGGATATCTTTATTGTAGACGTTTCGCCATCCAGTGGATGGCGAAACGTCTACAATAAAGATATCCAGATGTTGCACATGTGTCTTATCTTTAATATTGTCGGTATTTTATACCTTTCTTGCACAAGTTTTGTTCAAAATGTGGGAATGATGGATATGAATTCAGATCGTGCACCATCAGTATGGTTGCAACATGTCTTAACTGCAAGAGTAATCATACCCTTGCAGCTAAGTGCCCACTCAGGAAAGAAATCATATTGAAGAAAACTAAAGAAGATCTGAAGAAGAACACCTCCAATTCACTGACATACTTAGCAATAACCAAACTACAAGCCGACACCACCAAGATTCTACACACCACTCTAGAGGCACCTTCGCCCAGCAACTCCCTCTCTCCACTCCCCGATGGTGCTTTCCCCAAGGTGCTGTACTGCATGGTGTATGCACACCTTGCAAGCGCAGCAAACCCCGGCACTTTCAACACCAATATTAACGAACTATTCCGTCTGAACAACATGTCTGCCTTCAATTTTCCGGACTCCACACCTTCAGCCGACATCCTCAAGATCCTGCCCAACGTCGTGAACTTTACTGCACCTGCAGACCTGTCTCCTGCCCAAGCAACTGCTCCTGTAAGAACATAAGAACATAAGAAAGGAGGAACACTGCAGAAGGCCTGTTGGCCCATTCTAGGCAGGTCCTTTACAATTCATCCCACTAACAAAACATTTGCCCATCCCAATTTTCAATGCCACCCAAGAAACAAGCTCCGATGTGCAAGTCCCACTCAAATCCAACCCCTCCCACTCATGTACTTATCCAACCTAAATTTGAAACTACCCAAAGTCCTAGCCTCAATAACCCAACTAGGTAGACTGTTCCACTCATCAACTACCCTATTTCCAAACCAATACTTTCCTATGTCCTTTCTAAATCTAAACTTATCTAATTTAAATCCATTACTGCGGGTTCTCTCTTGGAGAGATATCCTCAAGACCTTGTTAATATCCCCTTTATTAATACCTATCTTCCACTTGTACACTTCGATCAGGTCTCCCCTCATTCTTCGTCTAACAAGTGAATGTAACTTAAGAGTCTTCAATCTTTCTTCATAAGGAAGATTTCTAATGCTATGTATTAATTTAGTCATCCTACGCTGAATGTTTTCTAACGAATTTATGTCCATTCTGTAATATGGAGACCAGAATTGAGCTGCATAATCTAGGTGAGGCCTTACTAATGATGTATAAAGCTGCAGTATGACCTCTGGACTTCTGTTGCTTACACTTCTTGATATAAATCCCAGTAATCTATTTGCCTTATTACGTACGCTTAGGCATTGCTGTCTTGGTTTAAGGTTGCTGCTTACCATAACCCCCAAGTCCTTTTCGCAATCTGTATGGCTACCTC